GCGTGTGATGGAGAAACCACTGGAAGGTTGAGGCCCCCAGAAAACCCCACATTCCTGTTGAGCCTCCAAAATCGTTCGGGATGAGGAGGGATAACACTTGTGTCCATCAGCCTCGTGTTCCCACGGGCGTTTTGCACGTTCCTATCTGTAATTAGAATCAGGATCATTTTAAGGAGAGAAAAGCTGTGGTGGCTTCAATTAAAGTCTTTTTTTTCCTCCTGCTGATTGCAATTACTTGATAATAAGCTTGATAATTAATGCCAAAAAGAGTAATTTCTTCGGTGGGATGAGGCTATTAAGGATTCACCGCCTAGTAAACGTTGCCTTGTGCCTTGCGGTTTGTCCATATATGTGTTGCTTTTATCTCTTCTGTGATTCCAGGTGGGGCGCTGGAGGTTTTGTGGTTTTTTAATCATTTTTTCTCTATTAAAGCTGCCTCCTAAGATGTTGATGTTGTCCTCTGAGCCAGCTCAACTCCAGAGGCGAAGAGACATGTCCTTGGTGCCAGCCAAGCCGAGTGGTTGCTCTCCTTGAGAATTAAAGTTTTATGGTGCGAGCTCCCTTGAAGTTTTAAAGATCTATAATTTCCCTGAAGTTGTAATAATACACCCAAAGTCCTGAAATCATCCGGTAACCAGACTTAAGCCTAGATAAAGCACCAGCTAAAAACGCTTCCTCGAAGTGATGGATTTTATCCGTCGTGTTTTCTGTTTGGACAAAATTTCGAAGCCGTTCTCCGGCGTGACTTGAAATGGAAAAAGGGCCGAAGGGTCAGGCTGGAATAACATACAGACCCCAAGCCCCGACAGCTGTGAAAGTCACCCACATGGCAGAGTTAAACTCCGCTGGTGGGTGCTGGCGTTTCTCCAGCTATTTAATACGTGGTGTTTTCTTACTCCGGGGTCAAACCGGAGGGACTTTTGCCGTATACTTTCATCTCTTTTTCTAGTCTGGGTCTCCGCGTGGACTGGTAAGGTTCATGAGAGCATCCGTGTGATTTCTCTCAGGAAATAAGCAGTTGAACCAGAGGAGAAAGGTCTATCCCTCTCTTAAAATAAATAAATCTTAGGTGTGGCAGAGAAAACATACTCGGAGCGTGGGACAGGAAGGTTGGGCGTACTGGAGGGGCAGCGATAGACAAAAAGGAGCTGGACACGGTGTCTTTTTCCTTTTTTTTACGCTGAGGCGAGAGGAGAGCTGTAAATCTTTACGAAAATCTTCAGGCTTGTCTGCTTCGTCACTGGATTGTGTCGCAAATATCGAGAGCGGACGCGCTTCTTTTGTGTTAGCTGGTTGCCTCCGAGCGAGCCATCGGTTGTTCAGGGAGTGATTTGCTTCTTGCCAAGTGAAAAAGGCTAATTCCACATAAAAATATTCGTCTGTGGAACTGGCCTTGAGCTCATGGGAGCCCCTCTTAGAAATGAGTAAGGTGTTTGTAACGGTCAGTAAAAATGGTTTAAGAGATGGGTGGCGATCTCGGCGTGATGGTTTTACTAACGGGAGGTTCAGATGGAGATTAAATTGTCATTTCAGTAATCTCTCATCATTTTTTTAGCAGGATGTTTCTAGTTGCTTTGATAACCAGAAGAAAAAATAAAAATAAGAAGCTCTGTGCAGCTCACCGGTCTTTCATCTCATCAGTCTTTCATTATACATTTAAACCTCTGCAGTACACAAGAGTAAGGGAGAGCAGAGCAGACTGCAGTAAGAGTAGAATTTTCAATTTTGTGAGAAATTCCATAATTGTCAGGATGCTTTTCATTGCGAACGTTCTGTAAAATGAAATTCTAAGTAATACTTCGATTTTATTCCGCAGAGATTTATATTTGTTTATTAAATCATTTAAAGATCCTGAAACTTTTATGGCATTGTTTAAGTCTTTGTTTTTCACTCCATTTTTTTAAGAAATTTGTTATTTCCAGGTCTGGAATTGAAGGTCTGAATCCAGGAAATCACTTGACTCTGCTTCACTTCTATTCTCGCGTCCCATTGAAACTAATGGGATTTAAGCAGATGCTTCTCAAAATCAGGGCCGTTAATAATTCAAGCACAGAAAAGTAATTATTGAATTGGAAAATGAGAGGGTGATCAAAAATTTATTTGAGCAACAATTTATGGAAATCATTTGAAATGTGAAGAAGGCATTTTTGCCTTCTGGATGTGCCCGAAGCACCGGTGACGTTGAGCTTTGACAACATGAGACCAACTTGACAACCTCCTGTTTCTACTATTTTATTAACTCTCTAAAAAGAAAAAAAAAAAACCCTTTTGCAAAACCCTTCTGGCACTTGAGAATTTACAGGAAATGGGAACGACATGTCCAATTTTTCTATTGATTTAGGGTTTTTTTGATACTGAATGAGGCCACTGTTGTTTCTGCTGCTTTGGTTGTGAGACTCTGGTTCTAGCTGAGAGAATTCAGACTTTACTTTCTTGTGATTTGCACTGGAGAGCCGAGGGGAAGCACCAAATGTTGTCCAGTTCTCTCCTAGGTTGCTGCAAAGGTTCCTTGGAAGTTAATTGCACCCTTTGTAAATGTGGCTGCCTGATTTTGGCTTCAAAACTTGTTGCTCGGGCTCCAAATCTGCTGAAACTTTGCTTCAGAACAACCTCCAGCACGTATGCTTTTGGGATTTAGTTACGGCAGACTGAAAACTGTCGGCGCATTAGGAAATATTCACATTTAGACTGTCGGGATAACTTTCTGATAGGCATAAACTGGTACTATCGCTCCTGAAAACGCGTTCTGCGCTGACACAGCCCTGAACCTTCTTCAGCCCGGTTTCCACGAGCATCCCACTGTCTTTTTTCTGAAAAAAAAATGCAACTTGGGGCTGCTGCCTTCCCCGTGGAACCCTTATGGAGGTTTCTGCTGCAGGGATAGCTGGCAGGAATAGCTCGGCTGGTTGCTTAGCAGCTGCTGAGCTGTCGCGGTTTGAAGGTGCGGGAGGATTCGGGGTTACCTTTCCGAGTCTGCCGGCTCCGAGGCTCGCTCCACGAGCTTGGGAGGAACCGCCCGGGGAGATGGAGGAGCGAGAAACCCTACAGCTGAGGTAAGCTCTCCCTGCTCGGTCGTTCCTTGCTGGCTCGTTGATGGGAGCGTGGAGAACAGGTTTCGGAGAACGCCGTGCGCGTGGTCCTGATCCCGCATGCCGTGGTCCAGGAGTTTGCTGACCCTGTCTTGTAAATTTAACTCTTACTGCCTTTACTTTGTGAGAAGAAGAGACTACAGATGTGCAGCCCCACGTTTAACACGAAAATGCGGAATCCGTGATGGATTTGCGATGGTTTGACAAATAGGGTTGTTATTTGCGTGGGTAGTGTATGAGATTGTATTGAGACACCCCGATAAGTGCATCGGGCAGAAGCAAATAGAGGTTCTCAGTGATTTCTCTCTCTGTTTTTTTTACATTGGTGGCTGAAGGTCATGCTGACAACATAGCAAGAGAGCAGGAACCACTTAAATGCAAAAAATGGAGGAACTGGGAAAGCCGTCATCTTTCTGAAGAGAGGCTTGCGCTCCTGTGTTTTTCTCCTTTATACAAAGAGCAAAATGATGTCACTTATGGAAATTACGAAGCATTTATATCCTGTGTGGGTAGCAGGCTTGTGAATCATGGATGATTTCTTGTGGTATGAAAGCTGAGTACACGGTCTGGAGTTGTCCTAAACAAATTTGACGGAGAATAGCCAGTATGCTGCGTTAGAGGTTTTACTTTTCTGATTGCCTTGCAGGCTTCGGCTGTTAAGATGAAAGCAATGCTTATAACTTCCCTGAGCGTAGCAGAGACATGGTTGGGAAGCTGGAGCAGCTGAAGCCCTTTTGTATCCCAGGTGAAGAGGTGTCGGGGTAGACCTGGCAGCCGCCTGCAGCAGATCCCCGGCGACGTGTCCCCCCTTACGCCCTGCATTCCCCTGCTCTCTGCACTGGTTGCCAGGCATCCTGTTGTTGCTTTTAATCCTTGGCCCTGCCTTCGAGTGGCTGTGGAACCTGGAGCAGTCAGTTTTTTTCCTCTGACATCTTGCCCCCGCTGTAGGAGTGCTGGGGCTCGTGCAGCATCTGCTGTGTGCTTCGGTGTTTTTCTCATCTTTCCACAACTGCGTGTGGAGTGTGTGATACTGGTAGAGTTGTTTGGGTTTTTCCTCTTTAGATACTGTTGATATTATGAAAGAAAGGCTGCAGAAGCACTTTGCACTTGAACCAGAAAGTGGGGAAGCTTTCTGGAGGTCACTGAGTCAGTGTCCACATCTGTAAAACAGGGAATAGTCTCGTTTTAGGGGCTACGTGGGAGTGTCGAGAGGATTAATGACTGTTCATAAAGTGCTTTGACCTGTAAACTGCTGCATTATTACACTGCTTTTCTGTTGATCATAATAAGCCACGAAGCATTTAGAAGTAGTCGTTAGGTGTATTAAAAGCTTCACAGAGCAAATTATGCTGCGCTGCCGTGGTCCCTTCTTTGTCCCCTGAAGCAGTATGTATCTTGTCAATATTTTAATTGGAGAAATGATATGCTCTCAGGAGTAAATCTTCAGCTAGTGTTCTTCCTCATAGATTGTTTTTTTGATGCAACTGAAGATTCGCCTGGGGCCGCTGACAGGAGTTTTGCAAGCTTCAATTCTGCCGTCAGATCGCTGACTGTATCTTCTTCTATCTGCATAGAATCTAATTTCATGCTGTTTATACAACCATTTTGTCATTTATGCTTGTGCAAGGACACCTCACGTATGAAAATGCTGCAAAATCCTTGCAAGACAGGTGGAAGTTAAAAGCTTTGGGTAGCTCTTGCAATGCTGGGCCACATCCAGTAAGTAAAACAGGAGCACTAACAGCTGACTGGAGCACGAATTAAAACATGGAAATATTACTAAGGCACTTCCCAATGTTTTGAGGCAGAAAACCGGCCAGATCTGTCTGCTGCTTCTGCACAGCTTTTCATTTTCTTCATCCAGTTGGTGTGGAGCTTAGAAAAACGTCATTCTCTTTTCTGTCTGTGCAGGGGAGGAGCTGGATCGTGAAGCGGAGTTATGAAGATTTCAGAGTCCTCGATAAACACCTCCACCTCTGTATTTATGACCGACGCTTCTCCCAGCTCGTAGAGCTGCCCCGCTCCGATGCCCTGAAGGACAGTCCGGAGGTAAATGATCAGCTCTGTCACCAGCAAGGCATCGCGAAATGTTTTTTCAGACACGTGCAAAGTAGTTTTAACGTGACTTGGGTCAGATTTGGAAATTATTAGTGCTAAGGTCAATGTTTTCTCCATTTCAGTGATCTAAAGGGAAATGCCCTGCAGGTTCATATAAATCATAGAATCCTAGAACAATTCAGGTTGGAAAAGCCCCTTGGGATCATCGAGTCCAACCGTTAACCCTACACTACAAGGTCACCCCTAAACCACATCTAAGTGACACTTGAACACATCCAGGGATGGTGACTCAGCCACCTGCCTAGATCGATGAGCTGCCAAGTGTGGAATGGTTATTGAGAGTGTCATGGAGGAAGCCCTCCTCTTAGCACCTTAGATAAGAATTTGGAAACTTGTGGATATTTCCTGACTGAATGTTGGCAACCTAAATCCTGCGGGAGTAAAGTTTGGAATGCTGGGCTTGTATTTCCAAACTTAAAATTACTGAAGCTGTTTTTTAAGAGCATTCGTGCATTATTTCAACAGTCTTGAAAAAAAAGTCTTAAAAAAACCCAGTCTTTAGAAGGAAAAAAAAAACGAGTGGGTTTTTTTTCCTAAATGAGTAAGAGTTACTTTTCGTTTCTTGACCTGCTGTCTTCACCCGGAATCTGATGAGCTGCGGTTCCTTCGCCTTCTTGCCTGTCGATAATTTCGAGATTTATTCCTGTCCAGAATAATCTCCTGGAAAGTAGCAGGTGCATCTTGACCGCGTCATTTCGGGAGATGCGAGGATGTTCCGCATTGCCGCAGAGGTTATTTGAGCCGGCGAGGCGTAACGAAAGCGCTGGGCCTCAGCCCGTCTGCGGGAAGCCGTGTGTGGCGGTGACGGGCAGTGCCCGTCGCTTCATTTCACAGGTCGCCCCTCCCTGGGACCTCTCGGTGTGTGTTTGCCCCCGACCATCAAGCCATGGAAAAAATCCTGATGCGCCGTGCGGGAAAGCTCATGTTGCCCGCCCGCCAGATGCGGAAAAAGGGGAATGAGGAAATCGTTGCGAGCGTTCGGAGAAGAATCCAAGAGGATTTATAAATCAGAATCTGTCCTTTCAGTGCCTGAGTGGGCGGGGGTTGATTGCTTTTGAGCAGCACACAATGGCTGAAATCAGCGCCCCAGCGAAGGCTGCCGGGCTTTTGCCGCTCACTATGGGAAGTTGCTAACGTGGTCCCGTTGCTCATCTGAGGATCTGGTTTATCAGCTCCTTTGGGGCTATTTCTGAAGAGAATTTCAAATTTCTAATCTCTTAACTTCAGCAGAAGTAGCAATATTCAGGCTAACGGACTCCCGGATTTACACATCTTTATTTGCACAACTGATTTAATGTGTTCCTTGTAGCCGGAGCCTGAAAATTGTTGCGTTGGCTCTGTAAGCAAAGATGTTGAACGGCTCTGCCGCCCTGTGAAATCTAATTCCGCAGCTGCAGGGTGACCCTTGCTGTATTTTTTGTTTCGGATCGACCACGTTGGAACAGGTGTTGGAGGAAAACGACGTTTTCAGCAGTTCTGCAAACTTTGGGCTACAGTACTGCTTTAGAACTGTCACTGCGAAGCTTTCAAAAGACTTCACTAACCTCTTTTATAAAAGCAAATTTACTGTTAGAGAAGGAGCATTGCTGAGTGTATTTTTAAGACCCTCTTCTGCCATTTGAAATACTCTTTTGCCGAGGGGTCGGACTGAGTTGCCCCATTCTTAAGCGAGGAAATGGTAGCCAAGTTGTACAAATACAAATTATTATGCACATAATACAAATTATTTCTTTGTTTGCAAAATTCATGATGGGAGGAGCGCTTTAGATTTAAGGTATCTTGACACGGGACATTGTGAAAATCTATTTTTTCAAAATAACATTATTACTTTCACGAGGAGCTGCTGGTTTTACACGTGGTTTTGTGTTGTTTGTCCTTCTCCAAATGACACTTTGCCTTGCAAAAGGGAATATATTCTGGTAGCGCTTGCCTGCACCAAGTCTCAAGAAGCCTTTCCAAATTTCGGTGTGTTAAAGGAAAATTCATATATGCCTGTTTCTTTCTGTTCCAGCTTGTCACCCAGATGCTGATGGCTTACCTGGCACGACTCTCGGCTATCGCAGGCAACAAGATAAACTGTGGGCCTGCCCTCACGTGGATGGAGGTACAGTGTGACACTTGAATTGTGCTTTATTTCCTGACCCTGGCAGCAGAGCAAGCCACAAATGCTCTCTCTGGCCTTTCCAGAAAGAGGTATAATCCTCCCAGACCTGTTGGTGTCACTGAAATGCTATCCTAGAAGCTTGATTCCACTTTTACCCGTGATTAGGAGGCCATGAAAGGTGTAGAACAAACAGGATGAGATCCAGTGTTAACAATGTAGGAGTATTTTCCCCCCTTGCTTGGATTTTGTCACCCAGAGACATCTTTTTCTGCTGATATTCACAAATAAAAGGAGGTGGCCCTGCTAGCGAAGCTGCTGGAGCTGCCTCAGCTGCGGCGTTCGCCTGCCCTCTTTTCTTATTTTTATTTCTCCATGCCTTAACTACAGAAACAATAAATATTATCTGCTCCTGTTTGTTGGTTAAACTGCTCAACAGAGCCTGCCTTGTGCTTGCAGGGGCACTGTTTGTGTCTTGCAAAGTGCAGCTGCAGCTTTGGTTGCTCGATTAATGGTGAAACAATAGACCTTTGGGTCCAGGAGCGCAGGAAAGAATGGGACTGAGGGATCAGCAATGCCGTTGCTGATTAATCTGAGATATATGTCTGCCTTTCCATCGCCTGATGAAATTGCTACACGCCAGGAATAGAAACAACTATTATTAGACTGTTGCAATTGGGTTTTAAATGGTGGTGATAAGGATTGACTGAGTTTTCCTGCAATTCTCCTCGCTTGATATCCTCTTCACCCTGAAATCCTTTGGGGATGAGAAAAATCTTGGAAAGCTGCTCAGCATGAAGTTGTAGGGGAATATGAAACTGTAGAATTTACAGCAACAGAGCAAACCTAGAGATGACAGCAAGCCTAGTGCACGTGCAACACGGAATAACCTTTCCCATTAACAGAACCCCGCGAGATTTTACACGAGCACAAAAATCTAGGGCTTTTGAAAAAACGTGGCGTTTAACTCACTAGCTGCACGGGGGCCGTACGACCTTCCGAAATACTCTTGATGGCTTGTTCTTAAGGCTGCCTTTCTGCCTGGGCTGTGCCCTGCGCCGTCTCTCAGCGCAGCTCTCCTCGGGGGGGCCCCGGGCTGGGCTGTCGCCGTGAATCAGCTTTGAAGCCTCTGCCATCCATGAGCGGCGCTGAAATGCCTCCTCCCTTGTCCTCAGCTGCCTCACGGTCCCCTGTGCTCTTCGTTTCAGATTGATAACAAAGGGAATCACCTGCTGGTCCATGAGGAATCCTCCATTAACGTTCCTGCCATTGCTGCTGCCCATGTCATTAAGAGGTATATTGCTCAAGCAGCAGATGAACTGTCCTTTGAGGTAAATAATTCAAGGAGCTTATGTTGTGAGAGTGTAACGTGCGTGGCTGCGTGGGGGTGTGCGTGCACATCAGGAATGTGTCCAGACACTTGCAGAATGAGGCGAAGCTTGGAAGATTCAGTTAAATATCCGATTTGCTGTGGGCTGGGTATGGAAAGGAGTTCAGTCGTCTTTAAAATACAGCTTTATTTGGCATTGGTATCTTCTGATTAAAGAGATACTGCCAAGTACTCTAGCCTGGTCTCTGAGGAGTAGCAGACCCTGTGTAGTTCGTACCATGAAGTGTGTTGAAATATGTTGTATCTGTTTTATGCGGACACGTGCCAGTGTAATTGTTCATTTTGTTCAGGTCAAACAATCGGCGTTCCTGTTAGATAATCTAAAACTGCTCTGCAAATCTTGCTTCATGCAGGGTAGGAGCTGCTGCAGGGCAAAGATCTTGGAAAATCAGAGCCTAGGAATCTTTGGATATCTGGCTTTGGATATCAGAGCATTTTGTGCTCTGATTGTTTATGCGCAGTGGTTCTATCAATGCAGTATTCACAGCATTATACCAAAAAAAAAAGTGTAAAAAACCACCAGTTAGTGGCCGGAGGGATTTTTGTGATTGTATTCTCTGTGTGCAGCTCAAGAAGTAAAAATAATAGCGATCGTCTAGTGCTGCCAGGGTTATGCTCGTTTTCAAAATTGAGGCGATTATGAGCGTACGCCAAAGAACCCTGCGAGCCTTCCAAGTTCCGACGCGCACAGTACGGGGCACGGGCCCTGGGTCAAGCGTCCCAGCGTTAATAAAAGCACGAAGATGGCACGGCCCGCTCGTAAATCTCCCAGCTCCGTGCCAGCGGGCTCACTTGGCCTGGCAACCGTCGCGCCAGCCAACACGTCGTCACGAGCCGTAGTAAACAAGTGAGGAAACGGAGGCGCGTGGCTTCCCGCGTCGCCTTCTTTGTAAAGCCCTTTGAGACGTGTCGGTGTGAGATACCTGGTCAAAGTTGGGCATCGCTGTTAACAGTTTTCGGTATTCCTAGCTGCAGTATTTCTTTGGGTTCTGCCCCTCCTGCTCTGGCCTATCTTGTTTTCTATATTTCTTATTTTCTATTCCATACTGCTCTTGATTGCCACCAAGCCAATCTCACTATTGTTTATACTGATTTCTGTCTGAACCATTGCATTATTACCTTTTTATGGGAGTGAGCAAAGCTCCAGAAATCCTGCTTGGTCTCCTTCCTCTTGTTTTCCTTCCTGTTGCTGTAAGACCACCTCACCCCTCCTCTGCTCGTTTTTTAATTAAGAAAATCACGTCTCAGGGTGGGTGTCTCGAGATGGGCACTGGTGCAATTGGCCCACGGGTCCTACTAGGTTTTTTTTGCAAGCTGTGATTGACGGTTGCCAATCTTTTGCAGGTGGGAGACATCGTGTCTGTTATCGATATGCCACCGAAGGAGCTGACCACGTGGTGGAGAGGCAAACACGGATTCCAGGTGGGCACAAGCATCGGGCGCGCCAGGGCGACATAAATAAGAGGAGACGCAGCAGTGTGTTTCTCAAACTGCTGGGTACGAGCTGAGGTGGTGTAAGAGGGCTTCCCCTTTCTCTCTGGGCTCAGGCTGGAGAAGACTTCGTAAGAAGTCATCTTCATCCCAACTGGGTGAGGTGGGATGGCCGTGACCCTGTGATGGACAGCTGGCCTGATGTTAGTGGAAGCTTGTGTTGCACCCCCTTCGAGGCAGCTGACACTCTTATTCAGATCATCCCATTCTTTCCACTCTTTAAAACTAGATCAGACAGAACATCGAGGGCTCTGAGAAAGTTCCTCACTAAGATGCTGCCGCTGACTCTGCCAAGCCACCCAACCTGTGCTTTCCTCTCGACGTTTATTTTGTGGTGTTAATGTTACCGGTCGCTGTAAATGTTACACAGGGAGACTGAGACTGAATTTTTCCAAAGATCCTAAACATGCCTGGGAATTAGGTACCAGAACATTTGTATTGAAGTGAGACTTCCCTTCTACAGAAGCTTTTATGCCCTAGCTTGGATTTTCTCATTAGGAAATTTAATTTTAAAACTGTCTCTGTTTATGAAACAAAACCCCAAAGCCACTGAAGGTTGAGGTAACTTTCTGCCTCCTCACACTGCAGTGTCTCATGTTTCAGCTTCTTTCAAGCAGGAGCAAGTTTCATACTGCAGTTGCCGTCTGCGAGTAGGTAGAGTTATGCTCTGGAGAGGATCAGAATTGACCAGACACTTGTATATTTTGGCCTGAAAAGTCTTCTCCAAGTCCCTCGGGTTTTTCCCTGACAGACCTTTCTGTGCCAGATCCCGACTGTGGTTCTGCTGTCGTTAATACCAGGGCTGTGTGCAATTGGATCTCCAAACACTACAAATCCCATCTGAACGGGGTGTTAGTTATGCGATTACATTTCTGTCTGATTAGCCAGAGCACGTGAGATACAGCTTTTGTTGGCTCCCTGTCAGACGTGGGAGTTCAGATAACATCTCATTTGCAAAAGCAGAGCGGCGTGGACATACGATACCTGCTCCGAAATTAAATTTTCTTTCTGGACTTCATGTTTCTCGAGCTAACTCGAGTGTTCTTCTCCTCGTCTGGAACCCTGTTACGTCTCGTTCTGATCTTAGAAGCTCTAAAGCTGCGTTTTGCCCTACAATCAGAAATTAATGAAACACTTCAGTACTCCTTGGAACGACCAGGCTGTGCCGCCCTTAAATTTCAAGTGAATCAATAAAAACTACTTTTTGAGTGCAGATGCTCCATTGATTCCAAGTATGTGGGATCCCCACGCAGGACGTCGATCCCGTTATTCGGTGCCAGCTTGTTGTCAGCCCGGCTGAAATGGTGAAATTGTGGCGATTAAAGACACAAGGAGCAAGGCAGCTCTTCTGCAGTTTGTCGCTGCCTCCTGTCTCTCGGATCGGAGCAATCCTCTTGTGCTTTCCCAGCACAAAGACAATGTTGATGAGCAGACTGCCCGAAAAGGGCTTTGCCTGTATCCGTGCACGGTCAGCCTGCTGACACAACGGATCCGAACAGCTGCAGAAATAGAGCACCATGTTTTGGCTTAACAGAAAATTAGGGGTGGAATAATCTCATGTCTTAAGTTGTAAGCAGGAGCGTTTCACGACGTGGAATCAGGTCATGACCACGCTGTTGGAAGCGCAGCAGGCGTAACGCACGGTTCAGGATGGGTGCTGATGAAGTTTTGCCTTTAAAGCGTCTATTACAGGCAAACAACTCTTTTTTTTCCCATTTAGGAGCAATAGCCATTGTAAGCATGATAGCAATCTGTTGATCCAGACTTCTTAATTAAGAAAATAAATCAACAAAGACTGTCTTGCTGGAGAGTTGTGATCCTGGGAGCAGATAAAAGATCCCAAACCCAAACGTTTGGACAGTTTGTTCATGGTACTTCTCGTGTTCTTGCTTTGTGCTAGGACAGGAACAACTGTAAATCATGTGTTGATAAGAGGAGAGCAAGGTCTCAACGAACGTGGGAAAAAAATGCTTCTTGACTTAGAGGAACTTACCTGGGTTTGTGCTTTTAAACGAGCTGTGAGTCACGTACGTCTGGGCAGAACTGCGTGGCTTTCTGCGGGTCCCCCCACCGATGAGAATAAATAAAGGGTTTCTCGATGTTGTGGGAGGGAACAAGAGGCAGGTGTCAACAGAAAAAAAACAAAGCTGACAGGTTGCAAGCATGTTCGGTTGGAACTGCAGCTTTGATGCAGCCTGGAAGTCAGTTTGTTCTTTGCCAGCTAGAGCTGTCCTTCAGAAATGAATCACCGCTTTTTAATTTATATTTTTTTTAACCTTCAGATCTCTACATTTCTCCCGATACCTGATCTAAAAACCGCATTGCAAGACGCTTAATCCTATGTGGAACAAAACAACCTACCAGGCTTCTTATCGTTTTCTCTGCTTAAAGTAAAGTGATTTTAAAGGCTTTTTTCCTCAAGCCTTTTTCTTTTCCCTCAGTGAGTCACCGCTTTTGCTGGAAGATTGGTACCTGAATTACAGCCACCTCCACATTAACAACCTCCCAGCGTCTTTGTTCTCTCCTTTTTCTTCATGCTTTGTCTTCTCGATCAGTTCCTGGGTTTCAGAGAGCTGAATCACGAGGGACAGGCCCTTTTGCGATGCACAACTTGCCTTCTGATGTTCTCCAATCATTCTGGCTTTTGGGTATCTTGCTGCAGAGCTGCTGGAGGTGACACAAAGCTCTTGAACACGAGCGTTATTTCCCAAAAAGAGGACTTGTTCTGTCTTGGTTTGGTCAGCACAAACCCAAGCTGTCCATTGAGGGCATTTGAATTTTTATCTTCTAATAAATAACATGTAAGGGTTGTGAGCACAGGGTGCCAAGTAGTAAATTTAACCCATTTTTTAACCTATATAAAAACCAAAACCCAACCAGAATGTCTCAATGCCGTTTGTGTTGCTGCTGCTTTCTCACTTGTTTGAATTCCCTCCTCGTACACTGGAAATTATGATGGTTACCTTGACTTTTCCACTTAAAGCCTCACAGATCTTCCAGTTTGAGCAGATGGCTGACATAAAAGTGGGACAAAAAAAAAAAAGATATAGTAGCTGTTGCAGAAATGTTTGCATACCACAGTAGCCTGTGCTTTCTTCCTTTGGTTAAGGTGTGCAGTGATTTTTTTAACCTTTAGATGACCTTGTATTTATCTAAATATATACTACCCTTGCTATTAATTTTCGTACGTTGCCAAATCCTTTAATCCTGGCTCAAGCTCTAAGAGTGCCTTGCTACATCTGTTGAGATTAACTCTTGGACTAAACTCATTTATTTATACAAAATCATGGAAAACTTGCCAGGGGAGAGGAAAAGCAGCATCATTTCAGTGGGTGGGAATTGCATGAGTTAGAGGTTGTGGTCTCTTGAGGATCTTGCAAGAAAAGTTAGAATAAATAAGAAAATGGAAACCATCAGAGCTTGTCCACAGTGGCACAAGCAAAAATTCTGTTTCTCTACAAAATCCATGCTAATTAACGGTTGTGAACAGGGCAAAAATGACACCTTGAGAACAGGCTTAGTGTTTTATTTGGGAATGGGTCCGAGATATCTAGAAGCAGCGATGTAACCATCTTGGGTCTCATTTAATCTCAAAATTAATATTTAGCCTTGTGTATTGCATCCGAAACCAAGAGAAATGTTTTGTTAACAATCAAAGGCAAACGAGCTTTTGATGGCAGTGTGGGATTTGGAGTTGGATTTAGATGCACCATTTTTTCAGCGAGATTAATGAAAGGCCAGTGTGCAAGTACTTCAGGTCGCTCGACGCGTCTCAGGCGTAGATGTTGTGAGCGATTAAAAAAAGTTCTCGAAGCATCGAGGAGGAAAGAAACTGCCTCGCCTCAGCCGTGGAGTCTCCCGAGTGTTTCATTTGTGTGAGGGGCTGAGGTTTGCACTGGATGTGTCCTTTTTTTCCTAACTGAAAAAATCGTTTCCTGCCTCTCTTGCGCAGGAAATAGCCAAGGGAGACTTTTAACTATAGTAAGGTATTTAGAAAACGTGTAACGTGCTACTTTCATGCTGTTTTTGTGTGCTGGTCGGCATATCTCTGTCTCTAAACCGCACAAAAATCACCTCTATGTTAAGTGACTCCAGGGTATCACCTCCTCGTGGTGTTGGCACACCCAGCCCAGCGGAGCCGTACGTTACCTTGGTTTTTGGATGGATTCTTTGGGTCTGTGAAGCATAATGTGAGGCCAGTCTCAATTTCAGGGAACATCAGAGGGAGCAAGGTTTGCAGATCCACGTTCTGTTCCCTTGCTGTCATGGTCTTAACAAAAAGCATATTCCGAGTCTTTAGCATTAAGTGTGATGGGTGAAAGTTTGTCCTCTTGCTCGGACAGAACGTTACATCACTGGGTTTTGAGGGTGTGAGAAAAAGTTATCTGTTATTGCTATTAATTGTGCCTTCCCTTGGGGGATTTGGAAGAGTTTCAAAGCCCAGCGTCTTCACCCGGACACAACGCAGCTACTGAATCGCTTGGAGGTTTGTAGGTGAGGATCAACTTGGAGTGAGGAAGGAGAATTTTTTTTATTGTTTTTTTTTTTTTCTTCTGGAGACCAAAAGAAATTGCATCAAGATGAATAAATAGAGAAAGCTCTCTTTGCCAGGCTCGCCGTGCTGGCTGCCATGTGCCCTCACTGAATTTCATAGATGTCCACCACGACTGGCAGCGATCCCGGCCCCTTTTTTTCGAGCTCGGGGCCCGTCCGCTGGTGCCATTGTTGCAGCACTTGGCCGAGCCGTGGCTGCCTGAAGTGACTTGATGCTTTCAGCTGTCCCAATCGCATGCCTGACACGGGACTGGAAATCTTACTTAAGCCGGGGTGTCTCAGCAGGGCGATGGTTCTTGAGTTACAGGTCACGGCACAGAAGCTCTGGTGCGTGAGGAGGTGGGATAGGAGAGAGAGAAGAAGGTCTGGAAGTAGAGAGTGATGAGGATTGATTTTCAGCTGGGATGAGAATAAAAAGGAAGACGCTGCAGAGAGAAGGTTGGGATGCTGGGAGGTGTGAAACTCTCGTCTGCTCGCACAGGAAATACTTTCACACCTCCGCAGATACGGAGACCTCGGAGCGGCACGTGCGTTTCTGCAGGCGCATCCTATTTCAGCAAAGCATGAAGATTCTCCCCACCCTCTAACCTTTTGCTGGTTTAGGCGGTCTCTCAACCTTTCTGAGTTAGCGGGGAAAAAAACCGCAGTGCTAAAGGTCGGTGCAGAAACGGAGCAAATCAGTATTTGAAAGCAATTTGTTGGAGGACCTTGGTGGCTTGGGCACTCGGAGATGTCCTCGCTGGCAGCAGAGGAGCAGCTGCGTTCAGCAGCTGACAAATTGACTTTTTTTTTCTTGCAGAGCCCTGCTACGTGGCTGCCCAGGGGCGGGTCGTTGCTTTTGAAGCGTCTTCAAATATTTGCAAAGGAGAGTCTTGCCTCTGGGCTTTGTTTCTGGAATATTCCTCCGGTGTGATGAGTGGACACAGATAAATCGTAGCGGCCAGACTGCTTGTGCAGCGTGGTTGTCAGCTGTTTTCTCTCAAACCTAGTTCCAGTAATGGATATGTGGCACTATTCTCCCTTGTCCTTTGCCAATAGGGAAACTGAGGCACGGAATTTGCACCAGCTTGTCCGTGTTCAGAAGCAGATACAACAGTAGACACCAGGAGTTTTGGCTCTTCCTAGAAATCTTTTTTTTTTTTTATGCTACGTCACGTTCTTTCTTCTAAAAATACTCATGGTTATTGCTAGTCAAATTGCTCCGTTCTGACAAGTGTAGAACTCGTTGTTCACAATGTATATTTTATTAAACCTGTTCTCAGTTCTGAAATTGAATTGGATTCCGTTTAACTAAAACCACGTTGAACTTTTTTAGCAAGATCTTTAACCGCGCTTAATGCTTCAGGAGTATTCACCGAGTACCCAAGCACATGCAGGAAAGCTGGGACTCAGAGCGTCTTCTCCTAACTTCTCATGCAAGAATTTGCATTTATTCTGAAATGAGACTGTATAGACATCCATATCGACCCTTCTTTGATTTCAGTGTTATAAAGGAATTAAGTGCTTGTGAATATAGTACTCCGTGGGAAAAAAAAGGTCAAGTGTTGGTGAGATTCGAGCACAGATAATTGAGATGCTACGAGCTGAAACATCCTGCTGCCTTCATTAAATTTCATGTTACATACATGCAGGAAACCCAGCTATAAAGTCTTTCTGTCTCTCTCTCTCAAATTCCACTTAAGATTTAAGGGTGTTTAGCACACTCCTCCTCTCCCCTGCCTGGTGCAAGATGAGTATCTCTGTCCCGGGTACCAAGCTTAGAAAAGGTAGAATTGTATTTTAGACAACTCTTTTGGTTTGTAGAATTCTTGGCTGCATCATTTTGAAATAATTACTTCTCTGGTCATTTTATATTATTATTGAAATAATTGCTCTCTGGTCTTTTTATGTTGGATACTGTTAGGGAGCATCAGGCAAGCAGAATTCGAGGAGAGCGTTCACCACTTGCTGGTTGAACCGTTCGGATATTAAACCCACGACATTCACGATCCTGCCTCTCTTTTTGTTTTTTACTACAGGTTGGATTTTTTCCTAGCGAGTGCGTTGAACTCATTAACGACAAAGTTCCTCAGTCCGTCACCAATTCTGTGCCAAAACCAGGTCTGTATTTTTAAGTTTTATGACGCGGTGAAATAAAACGGAGTTCTCTTTTGGGTGTCCCACGTTTAATATCTTCTTTATACACGCCGTGTTACACTCTGTATGTCGATCACCCTTTGTACGTAGCACGTTATCCTTTCTGTGTGTTGATCATCCCCACGTTACCTCTCTCTGAGTAGCTGCCACTGTTGAATGTTGCTCATCTGCGCTGTTTTGTAGGCTTGTGCCCACATCCGTCTCGTGCACGATTTGAAAGATTTTAAGCTTGTAAGAATTTAGGATTCCTTCAGCTAGGGATTCCATGGAGCATCTTGGTTCCTGGAGTTTGGAGATCGTTGTACTTTAGGGTTTTTTCATGCAGAGCACGAAAATGTTTCTGCTGACTTATAGGTGAGTTAGGCACTGGAAACTTCTTTCTGTCTGAGGATTGATGGAAAAAGTCGGATATAAGAGAATTTGGAATCCTTGATTGCTTGTGCTTTGTGTGTAGGACTCCGTCTGCTTCCTCTCGCCTCGTGGAGAGTTGTGTGTTGTATGAAATATGGAGAAATTAATACCAAACTGAGGGAAGGCGAAATAAAGAGAGAATGGGATCTTACTGTCATCCTAGTGTACATTGGAAGTGATTGCAGTTAGATGTGCTGGCAAAACCAGGATCTCTGCAGAATTCACTGGTGGTGAAGCTTTTGTTTAATTCTTTCAATTTTTAGAATATATATATGTATTCATATATATAAAGATAGATGTGTGTGGCCTTTGTATCAAGAGAATCACTTTGAAATTGCTGATCTTGCTTGAAAGGTTGCGCAGCCCACAAGCTGAGTTGGAAAGCTGGTTAACTGCTGTTCTTTTCATCTATTTTCTCTAATTTAATGACATTCCTTATCTTGTAAGATTGCTGACTTGATCCTTTAAAACAAATAGACGGGCTTCGAATGGTTGGCTTTTACTAAAGGACAAGCATTTTCTCAGCTCCTGTGTTACAGCTTGGAACTTTTGGTTCAAAGAGTCATGAACCCTCCAAGCGATGGGTGCGTTAATCTGCGCGCTTCAAAGAGCCGACAGTTCAGGGAAATAGATTTTTCTGCTGGTCGTCGATATCTCCAGCCTTTGTTATTCCTGCAGATGGATTTGCTAGGATCAGTGTCACGGGGATCACTAGGAAGTCCAAGTGCTGCAGCAGGTGGGCATTCCATAAATCCACTGGCTGCCTTTTGTCGTTGGAAGTTGATCCCGAAACACCGCGGTCCATCCCTTCTCCGTGCTCTGTCGGCTAAAGCACGTAGACAAGGGCAGCTTCAAACCTCATCCAGGCCAGGCTGGTAGATGCAATCATGAGCAAGTGTTTATTATTAAATACGGCTCAGACAATTAAATGTCCTGAGCTGCTAGCGAGTGGTTTCTTGCTAGGCTTTAACGAGAGATAATGAAGCTGTGTAGATTAATAGATTCTATTTGGCTTTAACGACACACCAGGGGGTGGATTTCCTCTTTCAATCCTGGGAAATGTGTGTTATGAAGTTAATACCGAAAGCCCAAGTCCTATTAAAAGTAATAAGCTGAAAGATATTGCCAAGTCAGGGGGCTGTCCCTGTTGACCTTCCCTGAGAGTTGTTCCATGCGTACGATTAAAAGTGAAAGACTCCTCTAGAAGAACGCTAACGAGCTTTCAGATGGAAAGGGTTGCCGGAACGAATGTTGCAGCTGTTTCTGCGATCCTTCCCCCCCGCACGAGGGATTTGTGACACCAGTTCTTTGTAGCTGTGTGCTTTCTTTTTTTTTTTCCCCCTTGGGAAGTTAACAGAGGAGGCAGCAATCTGGAAAAACTCTTCCTCACTTGCTGCAGAAGTTGTGACTTCTGGAAGGAGTCTTTCCCATCGTTACGGGATGTTGCGTGTGATGTTGGGGAACTCGAGGAGCCTCTCTGCCTTGTCCTTGCTTGACATTAGCGGGATATTTCAACGTAAAGTTTTAGATTGAGGCTTGATAAGACGTACTTAGCAACATGCAAACGTCATTTTCATTAATCAAGGTAGAATGTGTAGAGCATCTGGGATGTTTTGTGTCTATGGCATTAAGCTCTTTGCTTAATTTACAAACATAGAATTCCTTGTGTTGTTAAACTGTCCCTAGATTTGGCTGAGTCAATCTGACAAAAAGCAGATGGAAAGCAAAGAACTTCCTGCCTTGCTTTTTTTATTATTATTTATAAATAGAGGGTTTGATTTGCAGAAGTCATGGGGACAACATTTTGATAGAACTCTAAAATATTGCCATGATCTATAACGCAGTAGAAATAATGACTGAAGTTCAAATGAAAATGAAACACAGGGAATGGGAAAGGAGGACTGGTCTTAAGTGCAAGCGCTGCAATTGAAAATAGATAGAAAATGGACCAGACAAGAAAACTCTCCATTTTATCCAACTCAGAAAATTCAAAATAATAAGAAAGGATATTAGTTTTGCCTTGAGTCACCTCTGAAATATATTGGACAATGCAGTTTGGACTGCCAAATCTATCATCTCCCAAAATCTTGCTAGGGCTAGGTGAGCTTGCAGAGATGTGTATAAATCTGTGCCTGCGGGCCCACACAAGCCGTCCCCTGAAAATCAACGTCGTTTTGGCTATCATTAAAAAAAGAAAAAATATTTAGCATTTTCCTTTTTCAAACTCTGCACGTGAGAAGGCGGCACAAGGAGAGGAAGGGGTGCTCAAGAGGTCCTGAAGTTCCCCCTGGAGTGATTTTTGCAGGGTTCTACTAAGCTCCTGCCCCATTTTTCCAAGCTCAACACTGTAAGAAAATACTTTTTTTTTTTAATTGTCAGTTGGGATGCAAACTGATGTCCTGTCTGTGTCTGTTTATGTCGTGTGGGCTCACCAAATCTTCAGCACTTGCCTTTTTTTTTGGAATTCTTCCTGGGTTCTTACTCAGATACATTAATGATAAGTTCTTAGCCTATAGTGTGCTATTGAACTGATATTTAATATTTCATAGCTAACAGCATTTACTGACAGTTTAGCTGAAATTCGGTGCCACAATAGATGGAATCAGCTAGAATTTGTAAAGATGAGATGCAGGATGATAGGTTATGTTTGAATTTCAGCTACTCGGTGAGAAGTGAATCTTCTAAACATTCATTTTGCTGCTTAGAAGGGAAAAAAACCGAATAGCTGTTTTGTTTGTGGTTTTTTTGTTTCCTTCTGAGTGAACCGTTGGGAATTACCTGTAGTTTGTGGCTGTGTTTTCTCTTTTCATTCACTTCTGTCCACCTCTGGTCTGGGAAGAGTCTCTGTGTGTGTGTTCACATCGTCCCCACTCATCATTTTGGCATCGCTGGCAGTGCCAGGCAGCTCTGTTTCGGTCCGTTCTTTCTCAGAATTCTGGATATTTGTAGTTGGCTAATATTTAACATCACATCTCGTGCTTCACCCTCATCCGTGCAATTTGTTCCTTGCCTTTTGCTAACCAAGCGGCGTCTTGCCGGGTCCCAAATCTCTGCTATAGTGTGCCTCGGCGGGTTGGAAGGTTTCTAAACATCTGGGTCAACGCCCCAAACGTGGTCCAGGAGGATTGAGGTTTAGGCTTGGATCAGGCAACAGACTCTGTCCTGACCTCCTGAAAACTCTATGAATGAATTAATTTTTAACTGAAAAAGTGCCGAGCAAGTTACATTCATTGTGTTAGAACTATTTTGAAACAGGCGAGTTGCTAATCTCAGGACAAAAATAAATAAATAAATAAAAGATTGTGGTTTTGCTTTTTAAATAAAAATCAGGAGAAGCAAATAGAACTTAGGTTCTGCCTGGGTTGGAATTGACACACTGCACAATATCTTAATTAGTGCATAGAAAGACGAGATGTGCGTAATTAGCACCAATCTCATTAATCTTAGATAAACAACCCAGCTGTTCGGTGTTCAACGTGGAACTGTCGCATTAAAGCTAAATTAAGGGAAAATTATATTAAGCCAAGACTGATACCCATTGCCAGGGTGGAGGCAGGCAGGGAATAAACAGATGAAGGTGCTCAGGGTACAGAAGACCGAAAATGCGCTTTCAGTTTTGACAGACCTAAGGACCAATCCTTCCAGAAAATTTGGTTCCCATGACTTGGGGCTGAGGCAGCAAGAGCTAAGTCTGCCTTCTCCACGAGGGGTGATTTTCAGGAAAAATACCTTTTGCCAATAGGAAAACATAACTCTGAGACAGTTTTGTGTTTTCTTCTTGCGTAAAATGAAAACTGTAATAAAGCGGTTTTCTGCTTTAGCACCATCAGAAGCAGAATGTTTTTAAAAACCGAATTATGCAAAATGTAAATTTACAGATCTGGGAGTTGCTTCCTGTTGGCATTGTCCATCTATATAGAGAAATGTTACATCTTCCAGCTCTGTTTCTGGCTCAACAAACCACTTCACCGTGGGCTTGACCATAAACACGTGCTCAGCAGACATGGGAAGTGACGCAAACAAATCCTGTGCTGCTCAGCAGGGACGGGCTTCGTGCTCAAAGTTCAAACGTGCAAAATGTTTGGATTGGTTTTGGTTTTTTTTCCCCCAAACCTCAGTGAGGAATTCTTGGATCCTCATGAATTTCCAAAGTGTTCAGGGAATAAAGCACCAAACGGCTTGAAGGATTGGGTCTGCGGTCGCTGTGCATAGCCTGGCTGAGCTTTGTATGATATTAACACATTTTCAATGGGTGCATGTTTTAACCAACTTTTTTGTTGTTGTTGTTTTGTTTTCTTTTTTTTTTTTAATTATACCTTCCCAGTCTCCCCTGCCCACGGAGCCCGTCCAGCGTCCTGGAGCTACTTCCCCCCTTGTACGTTTTCATTTATTCTTTTTTTTCTTCTTTCGCTCCTTCTCTCCCCGTGTCTCTATTTTCCTCCTTCTTCTGTACCTGCAGAACTGATGCTTTGAAAGATATTCAGGGAAACCTATAGTCAGATGTGCCTTTTTAAAAGCTCTTTGGACATAAATCAAAAGAGCAGGGAAACAAA